GTACTCAGGCATGTAGCCACACCTGCAGGAGGGAGCAGAGCTCGAGCTACCAAGCTGCTGAGCTGGGAGGCACTGGGAGGCGGGCAACAGGGTTCACGTGTGTGCTCTTGGGCTGCTGCACACCAGGGTTTTGGAAAGCATCCCAGAAGACCCCTGCCTGCTGTCCAAACATGATCCTCTTCACAGGGCTTTGCCCGATTTCCAGTGGGTGCATTACTCTTGCTTACAAAGCAGTCCCAAGCTACACTGCACTGCTGAAATTCGAGGCCACATCAGGAACCACCCAGTACTGCTACAGGATGCAGTCAGCAGTTACACTTCTGCCATCTGCAGGTCTACAGGGTGGACAATGCACTTCAAGTGTGCACATTTGAGAAGGGCATCTCAGCCTATTCCACACAAAGGTGCTTCGGGACTGCTTGCAGCTCTGTAGAACCTCCCGCTATGGTCCTGCTGCAGGGGACGAGAAGCCAGCACCTGGGGACAGAGAGGGGGTTAAGCAGCTAGCCCCTTCAGGGCTCAGCTGGAAGAGCCAGAAAGGGTGGAGCAGTGAAGCCTTCAGAGTGCAGGTTTCTGACTTGAGCGCCTGGCTATGGAGAACTTGTTCAGAAGTCAGGGAGGGCGGAAAACTGGTGGCCTTGAGCATCAGAGGGCTGTGTGGGCAAAGCTGTCAGTAAGTAGCTAGCCCAGGAGTCTGCAGCTCTTTAAGTGGTGGTCAAGACTATGAAATAGAAGAGATAGCTGAGGAGTCAGGGGCTGGGAGAAAAGGGGAGGAGCAGCTGCTCAGAAGGGCAGTTGGGGAAGTATCGGAGATGAGGTATGAGTGAGAAGCCTGGGGGAGCTGTAGCCAGCAGGGCATCGTCCAAGTTTCAGTGAAGGCCGCGGAGAATGAGGGCCAGACCACAGTGGGCTGATCAGATGGAGAGCCCAGCAAATCAGGAGCAGCTTTTCCAAAGAGGCCAAGAGGCCCTGGGCTGGAAGGGAGTGGCACCAGGTCAGAGACTGAGGCAGGCAGGTGGCGGGAAAATGCGGAGTGGCTCGTGTTTGGTTTTGCTCTCAAGTGGGAAGGGGAGAGTCCTTAAAAAGGGTGAGTCAGAGAGAGAGTGAGCCAGTCCCAGCACCTGGAAGGAAGCTCCCCCACAGCCATCCCAAGCTCCTAGAGCAGAGAAGGTGAGCCGGTCCCAGCACCCAGAAGGAAGCTCCCTGCCTCCATCCCAGGCTCCTAGGGCAGTGAAGCTCAGCTGGTCCCAGCACCCAGAAGGAAGCTCCCTGCCTCCATCCCAGGCTCCTAGGGCAGAGAAGCTGAGCCAGTGCCAGCACCCAGAAGGAAGCTCTCCACCTCCATCCCAGGCTCCTAGGGCAGAGAAGGTGAGCTGGTCCCAGCACCTGGAAGGAAGCTCCCCCACCACCATCCCAAGCTCCTAGGGCAGAGAAGGTGAGCCACATGGGCCCCAGAAGCAACCCCCCACCCCATGGAAATGAGAAGACATGTAAACAAGCCTCAAAAACAGACTTTTGGATCACCTACAGCAACCCCAAAGGGAAACAAGATGGAACAATCTGATACTCAACCACCTGGAATCTCTGAACTGGCAACAAAAGAGGAT